TCTAAAAGACCAGTTTTTAGATTGTCCTTGCATCAGCAGTTCTAGGATCTGGAGAGTATGCAATATTCAGTTCTAGATCTGAAGGGAACTGAGAGGGGGGTAACAAATATCCTCTTTCCTTTCATAGTAGATTCCCTCTATTCTGGAATTATATTATTATTACTCATATTTTTACTCCCTCCATATTCCAAGAATGATGCACACAGACTGCGTATTCTTCCATAACACCACTGAGGAGGTAGGCTAGGCAGAGTGGTCCTAATGCTTACTGATCTGACACTCTAACCACTACATCACACTGACTCTCTACGTGTTTGACAGCTTGGACAGCAATCACTGGTTGGGTTGGATCAGTAGACCCAGGTGGTTGGAGAGAGGAGGTTCCTGAACCAGACACAGCCTGACAGTGTCAGGCCAAGCACCCCCACTCCAGCAGGGACAGAGCATGAGATCACCGTTGAAACCATCAGAAGAACAGACAAGTTCAGGGCACTTTGCCAGCTGAGGTCACATGACAAGAGAAATCAAAGCTCAAGGACTGGCAGAAAGATCAAGGGGGGATCCATACACCCTAGCATATGTATAATTTAGATAAGTTAAACCCTGTAGATCATAGATTATGGGCAGTGCCATTAAAAGTCCATCGTTTCAGCCATGTCCCAAGCAGGCAAAAGAGCAGCTTTGTGATCTAGGCGGTGCTTGCCTGTGAGCTGTGCTGCTGTTGACAGACAGTGGCTTAAAACACTGCTTGCTGTGTCTTGCTGGAATTGCCCAGGAGGTGACTGCAGCCAGCTTGGTTTGTCAGCTATTCAGCATTAACCCATATGGGAAAGGATGTATAAGCACTCCTTATCTCTTCTTACATTTGGCGTGTGGGGTGACTGGAAGAGGAGGACCCTGGGGAAGAAAGTTTCTCCTTTCTGCAATTACCTTTCCACACACAGTCTCATACACTCTCCACCAACCTCATGTCCCAAAGGTACTTACAGGCTAGCACTGCTTCATCCAAGCTGCGAATGTGATAAGAGGTTTCAGGGAAACAGGAGTGTATATAATTGAGAAAGAGAGAGGAAAAGGGGGAAGAGAGAGAGAGAGAGAGACTCAGTTTTACTGAGATTGCTCCTGCGGCAGCCCCACCAAACCTTGATCAAAGAGAAAGTGGACAGTATTGGCAGGGGTGGGGGGAGAGATATTAAATGGGGTGGACTTGACTCACCTATAGCTGATTTACCAGGCGGACAGGACATTTCCTTTGCTCAAGCTTGCTAGGCTGCTTAGGCCACACTCTCTTTTTCCTTGGGAGTTGCCTGCTAGGACAATTCTCAGGATGTGGCCTGAGGATAACATTAAATTCTCTTCTCTTCCGTTGTGCCTGATTCTGCCAAGTCAGGCAACAGGTGCTAGTCCCAGCCTCCTTTCTTAGTCTGTCTTCCACCAGGTGAGACATCTGATAGGCTGTGTCATGTGCTGACCTTTGCCCGAGCAGGTACATTCCCTGGCAGGGTGGGGCCATGGAGACAGCTTGTAGTTGTCCCTGGAAACATTCCAGCCTGTTGACTGTGTGCTGGCAGGAAGAGGAAGTCAGAGGACTAGGTGGTAGAAATGAACAAGGACAACAGACATTGCAGGCCGAGGTGAGCAACTACAGGGTGCTTGAGACAAAAATATTTATGTGACGTACTCCAGCTGCCTTTTCTCAAGGAGCAGCATGCCATTTTCAAGGAGACGATAGACCATGGGAACAATGTTGAAGGAGTGAAGTTGTGCCAGGACAGAGCCACAGAAACTTTGCACTTCTGCCTGCTAAAGGATCCTTCAGCAGACTTCTTAGAAAAGAGTTTTCTTTGGGGCCTAAATAAAGTATTTATGGGGCTGTGCAAGATCTGAGTAGAACTGCTTCTTTGTCTCTAAGGGCCAAATGATATGTGATGCCGAGGGTGTGAAATTGGATCCATCTACATGTAATTTTGTTTGCTGGTCATGGTGCTGGGAAAGCCGGAGGCCATTTCCTGAGAGACGTCTGGCTGCCCTGGCTTTGATGTGGTGGAACTCTCCGCCGAAGGACATTCGTGCCCTGCAGGACTTAATGCAGTTCCACAGGGCCTGTAAGGCAGAGATGTTCCGCCAGGTTCAAGTAGGGTTGCCAGGACCAATTGTCATGCTGGTGGGGGAATGGGGGGGGGGCATTCCAGGAGTGGGCAGGGATGTCACATGACATGCATACATCACCCGGGAGTGACGTACGCACACCAGTGACATCGGGGGCAACACTGTATGGTACAATCACCCTCAAATCATAGAGTTTTGCCCAAAAACCAGAGCGCTACCCCCCCGTCACTGACATGCCTACATCACTTCCAGGTGATGTCAGCACGTCATGCACAATGTCACTGGTTTTTTGGGGGAAATTTCCTCCCACTGATCAGCTAGCCGCCAGCAAAAACAGGGGATTCCCCACCCCCACCAGTGGGGAATGGTAACCCTAATTTGGTTGAGGACAGTGACAGGTTCCATCGTGTCTGGCATTCCCTTTCCCTGTTTTCCTGCCTCCCCCCATGAGGCAGTTACAGAATCTGAAGTTTTAGCGCCATCTGGAAGTTTTAATAGTTTATTATAGTATTGTTTATTAACTTATGAATGTGCTTTATTGTTATTCACCACCCTAAGCCTTGTGTGTACCGGGGAGGGTGGTTTAAAACTCTACCTTATAAATAAATAAATAAATAAATAATAAATATAATCTTCCTAATCAAAACTTCCTCCTCCGTGGGTTGCTTTTTACCTCAGTACAGGAAAAAGGAAGGAACCAATATTGCGACACGCCCCCCCCTTTCTTGCGCTAAAAGCGATCCAGGGGGATACAGTTTCAGTTCAGATAATGGTATGTGCAAGCATGGGACAGAGTTAAAACCTCCCTTCCCCAGCACCATAACCCCAGTCATCTCCCCTCCACTTTTTGAGACTGATTTACACATTGAAGATCTGCTCAAAGATCCCCAGTGTCAACTGCCATTTGGTCCTAAATAGCAACTTGTGACCAGGATAATGCATTATTATTACCACCATTGGAAAGGACTAATGTTCAAAGGCTAATGTTGGGTCAGAGTCTGACCAGTATGCAGTAAACTCACAAGGTCTTTCTATTCTGATGGCATTAGAACTGTGTAAATGAACAAGAAGTTGCTTGCCTCTTGAGTTAACAAAACAGGGAGCCTGGAATACCATTTGTCAAAGCACCAAAATTGTATCAACCTGCTGGTTATTGAAGACTCATTGGCTCTGATAAGGTGTTCCACACCTATACTTTTTGGACCAAAACTGGAAGGCATACAATAGCAATACTATTCCATTTGTATGCATTTGCATTGATACAAGGCTAGATCCTAGGAGGCCTCATATGAAATACCTTTCTTGTGTCTTTTGATTTCCTGTTTCGATCCTATATTTACTTGTGCATTACCTTTTTATTGTAATAGGAACCTAGCTGTACCTTATATTGTTTGACCTCTGAAGAAGGCCCAATTGGGTTGAAACATGTTAGTTCACTATTGTTTTCTCTTGGGCATATGTTACTTTTTACTATATCATAAGGCCCTGATATGTTTTTAATGTCTCTGTAATAAATACATGTATTTTAAATGTATAATTAGTTTACAATTGTTCTTAGCTATTGGCCCTGTATTTGTTTTCCTACTTACCTTTTAGGTTCTTGACTCAATTTTGTTTGGTTAAGTTTCCCCCCCTCCTTTTCCCTATGTTTGCCAACACCAACATATACCTTTCCAGTAACTCTCACTTTGTTAAGACCTGTATTTTTATCCCCAAAGCTGAGTACATACCGACATATTTACTTAATCCTTCCTCAAAGCTACCTGTAAGATATGGCACTACTGTTTCACATTCTATAAACAGAGAACTGTGGTAGAGAACCATTTTCATATAGTTCACATCAGATTTGTTCTCATGAACACATGAAACTACCCGCTGAGCCAGACCATTGGGTCTAGATTTCTCACATCCCTTACTACTTGATTTTTTAAAAAATGGAGATGTCAGCAATTGGACCCAGGACCATCTGGCTAGAAAGCAGGTGCTCTAACCAGTGAATTATATGGCCCCTATATTAAGAACAACTCCAACAGGCTACCCACCAGACTACACCACCTCTCAATGTTGTCAAGATGACTACACACATAAAAGCCAACTTGCCACCAGGGTTTTGAGGCAACATAGTCAGCTTTGATACATTAGGAGTGCTGATGGTGAGAACTCCAGCAGTTTAGAGATACAACTCACTTTCTTTCCCTTCAACTCTATGTCTAGCCCTTTCTTTACATGACTTGCCAATCACCAGGTCTGGTTCAAAATACATCCAATGTCTCTGTTTCCCCCCATTTCTCACCCACTCCTATTTCTGGTAAAATTACAGAATTCTTTAAGGGCTTTCTCAATTGTACTGAAGTGATGTACTCTCTTGCTCTTACCTCACGGTATATCTTGATTTCTGTTTTTCTTGTGTGTATGACAATGCATATTCCTTTCCTAGAACTGAGAATGGTCAGGTTTCCTGGTACTGCTAAAATGAACGGAAAGGATTTTGACATTGTGTGGGATGCTCACTCTGCAATCTAAGCGTCCTCTTATCTGGCATAGTGCCTAATGGTGTGAAACACTGCACTATGAACCAGAACAGTCTACTGAAAGATTTCAGTACTATTTTACACCCCAATCCATCTTTAAAGATTTTCTCCTTATTGTTTGCACAACTGTATAAAATAACTAGCCAAATACCCCTCAAGCAATCATGTCTGGTTTACAGAGGTGCACTTTAGGGGAGACAGTGCTGTGCAGGTACTATGCCTAGAGAGATTCCTGCTAAAAATGTATGTTACTAGGATGAAAATAGGACATTCTGAGCGCGCACTGGCATAGAAAGCAAGCTTCATGGTAGCACAGACACAAAGCATAGCAGTAGTATAAGTTCTATGGAGAACACCTACCTTGTGACACCGGCATGACCTGATTACAAAGGATTTTTCTGCTGCCTCAGACCAAGGACAAAGCTGTGACTGTAGATAAAATATCTAATGGAACTTACACAATCATAATATTGTGCTGCAGCTATTCCATAAACATTTTGTGCTTTAGGAGTAATCTTTCAGCCGATGCTGGTTTCCAGTAGTGTCTAGATGAGATGGGTCTTCTTCTGCTGTAAGCTGCTCAGCTTTCTTCTCTGCTTATGATGAAATATTCTGCTTTTCAGCAGCTTCTGGAATGGCATCTTCTACAATATCCTTTTTGTGTGCATGTATATGGAAAGCAAAACGTCTCACCTGAGGCAGCATTACTCAATCGTGCAACCTAAGTTAAACAATTATGGAGTGTTTAAACATCTGTCAGAGGAAGATCATGCCCAGTCAACTAATAATTATCAGCAAAAGAACTGAATCACATCCGTTTCCAGTGCAGGAAGAATTAGATGATGGGCACAGAGAAGAACTTGGGATATGAATGATCTAGTATTTGCAGGCATGCATGGTAATCTTTAGTTTACAGAGAATGTTGCATATAACAGGGTCTGAATGATACCCTTCTCAATGTCTCATCACTACAGGCATTTCTGCATATCTTTAACTGAATTGTTATTTAGCTTTCCTTAGAACACCAGGGGCTGGACTTTCATTCTTTATACTTCCCAGTACTTGTTAACCACAAACTACCTGCCAATTTGTCTGCTATTCCAGGATCAGGCCAGCATAAATGAAACAGCACACAACCTAATGAATGGCACTTGAAAGGTACATGTGGTCTAGTAGACACATTACTGCTCTTGTATAGGGGTAGGCAACCAATGACCTAGAAACTCAGCTCAGCTCCCATGGGCTCATTATTCAATTCCATTCTCTCAAGGGGATAATGAATCCATTTTCCTCAGTAGTTTCTCAGTTTTATCATCATTCACATATTTACATATTCTTATGACCACTCACACCCACTCAGCCTAATCTACCTCACGGGGTTATTGCGAGGATAAAATGGAAAAGGGGAGAAAAGTATGCTATAAATGAAATAAATGAATTAATAAAGAGCTCCACCACTTTCATGTTCATACTTTTTAGCATCTAGGGCTGTTCTTCTCTCTTTTCTTTTGTATTATTATTATTTGTAATTTATACCCCGCCCTACCGCACAAGTGGGCTCAGGGTGGCTTACAACATAAAACCATCAAACAATAAAAACAATAAAACCATAAATAGCAGCAACAGATAATAACAAAAACCTGTTCCTCATGGAATAGCAGGTACTCCAAGAAACTCCAGTGCCCAAATAATATCCAAAACAGTTAGGGCACTGGGAGGGGGACCATGGACAGGGGAGGCCAGAATGGTTGAACGTCTGCCGCCCCAACCAAAGGCCTGGCAGAACAGCTCCATTTTACAGGCCCTGCGGAACTGTAGTACCTCCTGCAGGGCCCTGATCTCAGGTGGGAGCATGTTCCACCAGGCTGGGGCAAAGGCTGGAAAAGCCCTCGCCCTGGTTGAGGCTAAGTAGACATCTCCTTACATTGTAGACACCCCACTATCTTTTCACCTATTCTGTCATTTTCAAATGTATTAGAATTCAGACACGGAAAATGAAAATCCATAGTGGATATGATGTACGATGGAATGTCAGAGACCAAAAAAAACAGGTTGCTTACCTGTAACTGGTGATCTTCGAGTGGTCATCTGTGCATTCACACCCATGGGATCTAGTTCGCACGCGCTGGATCGATAGGCATTGTAGCAAGCTCTTTTAATGGATTTTCGCGCCCAGACCTCGGGCATGCGCAGGAACCCCACCGCGCATGCCCAGAGGGGAGGGCGCAGACATCCCGCCAGTTTCTTCAAACCAACGCAAATCAACCCCTATTGAAAATGTAGAAGCTGACAGCAGCAGGGAAGGAGGGCGGGTGGTGTGAATGCACAGATGACCACTCGAAGATCACCAGTTACAGGTAAGCAACCTGTTTATCTTCAACGTGGTCTCTGTGCTTCACACCCATGGGAGATTAGCGAGCAGTGGCCTACCTGGAGGAGGGTGCTGGCAGGTCCTTCACTGCGTAGCCGAAGATAGAATGCAACATCCCATGTTGGTATTAGAGTTTTTGCGGACGAGTCCCCAGCCTTGATGGTGCATAAGAGACGAATAGTTGGGAGTCACGTCTCGATGGACGGGTTCTGTTCAGATAGAACAGGAGCGCACGCTTCACATCTAAGGTGTGTAACAGTCTGTCCTCTGAGGATGTCGGAGCCGGGAAGAAATCTGGGAGGAAGACCTCTGCCTGTAGGTGGAATTCTGACACTACCTTTGGCAGGAACGAGATGTCAGGTACGAGGTGGACGCCGTCTGGCAAAAAGGACAAGTATGGCGTGTCATGCCTGAAAGCCAGTATTTCTCCAACTTGCCTTGCAGAGGTGACAGCAACCAGAAAGGCCGTCTTCCATGACAGACATTTCATATCGCAAGTTGCGAGTAGCTCAAAGGGTTTCCTCGTGAGCTGGCGAAGAACTAGAGGAAGGTCCCAGGGAACGACAGGAGTTTTGATGGGAGGGTAAAGATGCAATACACCTTTTAAAAACGTTTTGAAAGCGGATGGGAAAACAGTGTGTATCTGTCAACTTGAACATGGTAGGCCAAAAGGGCAGTTAAATAAACACGTAACAATGAGTGGGAAAGTCCCGAGTCAGTGAGGGATAGGAGGTATTGGAAAACTTTCTCGAGACCTGCGGAGGTGGCTCGAGGGGCATCATCACCATGGGAAGAACAGAACCTTTGCCATTTATAATGGTAGGACCTTTGCGTAGTAGGTTTTCTGGCGTTCAGTAGAACGTTTACTACGCGGGTGGAAAAACTGTTGACGTTATTCTCCACGCTGTCAGTTTCAAGCATGGTATGTTGTGATGTAGGAGAGGGGAGTCGGACAGGAAGAGGAGGTCCTGTGCCGGAGGGACAATTCGAGGATGGTCGAGAACCATGGTTGCCTCGGCCACCGTACAGTTATCAATATGAAGTCCGCGCTGTCTTTGACGATTTTGCGGACCACTCTCAGAAGCATGGGTAAGGGAAATTTTGCAAAAACAAAATAGGATTTAGATAACATTTGGTTGTCATCGGCAGATAAAATGATACAAAAAATATATAATTTCCTCTTAAATGAGGAGATGGCAAGCGGAAACAATAAAACCATGTATGGAGAAGTGGATGAAAGATGTGGGAAATAGCATAAGCCTAGAGAAATGGTCTAAAATGTGGGGTTCAACGAAATTATTAAGAGCTACACCATATAAAGAAAACATTTTAAAAATGTTCTACAGGTGGCACTGGACACCTGATAAGGTAGCAAAATGTTATAAAAATGTGTCAGGAAACTGCTGGCGATGTAAAAGAAATATTGGTTTGTATGATCATATATGGTGGAGGTACGAAAAACTGGTTAAATTTTGGAAAGCGAAAGAACAATTAATTATAGAGATAGTTGAAATAGAACTTCCGTTGGATCCAGAAATATATCTGTTGAATATATTACCACAAGGTATAAAACATAATGATTTACGCCTGATACTATACATCCTTACTAGTTCCAGAATTCTTATAGCTAAATGTTGGAAAACAGATAAAATACCTAACAGAGAAGAATTAATTACAAAAGTTATGGAAATAAAAGAAATGGATAAAGTAAGCATGATATTGTTGGGAAAGGAAGAGAATGTGTTTTTAAAAAGATGGCAGAAAGTAGACAGATGGTTGGGAAAAAAAGTGTAAAGAATACTCAAAATAGGATGTAAATGAATATATTTTTGTGTAAATTTTTGTTATGGAAAAAACCTAAATAAATGATGTAAAAAAAAAGAAGCATGGGCAAGGGAGGGAACAGGTAAAGGAGTTCTTGGACCAAGGATAAAGGAGACCGTCTCCTAGGGAATGTGAGTCCCTGCCTCCTCGGCTGCGAAACAGAGGACACTTTTTGTTGGCTCTGGTGGCAAAAACATCGACTTGGGGAGCTCCCCACCTGCGGAAGAGTGGGAGGAGGTAGGTTGGGTTCATTTCCCACTCGTGGAGACTGAGCCCTGCTCGACTTAGATGGTCTGCCTGCACATTCATGTGTCCTGGGATGTGCGTGGCTGTCAAGAAGATGTCGTGGGTGATGCAAAAGTCCTATAACTGGGTGATGCAAAAGTCCTATAACTGGATGGCAAGGTTGCAGAGACATAGGGAGACCGTGCCTCCTTGCTTGTTGACATAAGCGAGTGCAGTGGTGTTGTCCGTGAGGACCGTAACACATTTCTCCTTGATCAGTGGTAAGAAACTCTTGACAGCGAACTGTATTGCAAGCAGTTCCAGGAAGTTTATGTGTCGACCTCGTTCGTGGGTGTTCCACTTGCCTCCCACACACATGCCCATCATGTGAGCACCCCAGCCCGACAGGGAAGCATTCGTGGTCAGGGTGATTTGGGGTGATGGAAGATGGAAAGGTGCTCCCTGGAAGAGATTGGAAGGGACAGTCCACCAAAGTAACGAGTCTCATATGTTGGGAGGAGGGGTTAGCAGTATGTGCGTTTTTCATTGGGACATACTTGTGGATAAACCACAGTTGTAGATGACGCATCTTTAGTCTGCCAAAGACGAGGACCGACGTAGTTGCGGCCATGAGGCCGAGAAGCCTCTGAATTTGGAAAGCCGTGATTGAAGGCTGGGTAAGGACGACATTGGTTAGGGAAATGATGTCTGCTGCTCTGTCTTGTGGCAGGTAAGCCATGCATGTCTTGGAATCCAGTACAGCACTGATGTACTGTATTTGTTGGACTGGACGCAAATGAGACTTCTCGTGATTGACCTGGGGGCCTAAATTTTCTAATAGTGCCAACGTCTCGGTGATGTTTGAGACCAGGGCGTTCTTTGAAGGCGCTACCAGGCGCCAATCGTCAATATAGGGGTAGATGGAGATATCCCTGAGACAGAGAAAGGCTGCAACGACAATCATAGTCTTTGTAAAGACCCTTGAGGCGCTTGACAGGCTGAATGGCAGGGCCGCATATTGGTAATACTGTTGACCAATTGCAAAGTGTAGGTATTGGCGGTGGGAGGGGTGGATGGTGAGGTGGAAGTACGAGTCTTGGAGGTCGAGGGTGGCCATCCAGACATGTTTTTGGAGGAGCGGCATAATCTGTTGCAGGGACACCATGCGGAAATGGTGGTAGGTCACAAAACAGTTCAGTGCCCTTAGA